AAACTAAATAAATAAAAATAATGAACTAACATTAATAATGGATTAGGGACACAAAGAATGACAATGCTTTTGCTATAAGGATTCCTTAAATATACTGCCATTTACGTGACTCTTAAGGGATTTCTGAATCTTTAAACCTGTCACCAGCTCTGCAAAATGCAAAGGTACTCAAAAAATTGTCGCTGCTGCAATAATTATTTTTATGGCTTTGCTGTGTAATTATGGTAATTCATTCTCAAAGCACTTTTACATTCATCATTCATTCATCCAACAAATATTCCTAGAAGGTCTGCCAAGGGTCAGGCACTGTGCCAGGCACTGGGGACACTGGTGGGCAAAGGTCAGGGGCTCTTTGGGCTCAGAGTTGTTGGGAGGTAGTTGGAGATCCAGTAGTACCCAAACTGTCCCCAGGGCCACCCTGAAATGTGCAGGATCCCGGACACTGACGTGATTTACAGGTCATGCTCTGTAACAGGAGCTTCACGTCACTTTGTCACTCTAGCGCCGCAGGACAAACCCCTAGGACAGGCCGGGCAGGTGTGACCACCTGCATTTCACAGACGAGGAATCTCCAAAGCACACAGCCTCACTCGAACCTTCTCTCTCGCCGTGGCTGCTGCCGCCGGGTGACCTGAGCCCGTCCCCGTCCTCTCTCTGCGTAGGGAAGGAGGACATGCTGAGCCAGCGCGACTATGAGTCGGCCTCGCTGCAGGAGGTGCGGGCCTTGCTGCGGCGCCACGAGGCCTTTGAGAGCGACCTGGCGGCGCACCAGGACCGCGTGGAGCACATCGCCGCTCTGGCCCAGGAGCTCAAGTAGGCGTGGCCCGGCCCCCCTGACAACGCGGCTACTAGCTTCGACCCTCCGCTGGCCAGGCTCCGCACTGCCCTCCTCAAGTCAGCAGCCCTGCCTTGGTGCTCACGTCTTTCCCCGTCACCACTCGCTCCTCTCCCCACCCCCCAACCCTGTCCCCACCTCGACCCACACTTCCCTACCCGTGCTCGGCCTGCCCCACACACTCCCCTGGCCCACCTCTAACCTGGTCGCCCCCTTCAGCTCACGCCCCGACCTCCTGTACACCTGCCCCTTCTGGAGCAGTCCCACCCTTTCTGAGCTCCCCAAGGGACTGGAGCTAAGGATCTGCAGGCGCCCCCTACCCAAGGAGTGCACTGGAAGCCCCCACCTCCACCCCCAGGATGGCCCTGCTTCCCACACACCTGCCCTGACTCCTCCACCTTCATCCGGGGCACAGCTTCCAGTCCCAAGAAGACATTCAGGTGGAAATCCGGGCTGTGGTCTGACCCAACGATCACCCCTTTTCCCGCCCCCAGTGAGCTGGACTACCATGACGCGGCCTCGGTGAACAGCCGCTGCCAGGCCATCTGTGACCAGTGGGACAACCTGGGCACGCTGACTCAGAAGAGGAGGGACGCGCTGGAGGTGGGTTTGGGGCCCAGGGAGCTGGGGGCTGAGGGGCCTGTTGGGCAGGCTTCTGACCCGCCATCCCCATGGCTCGTAGCGGATGGAGAAGCTTCTGGAGACCATTGACCAGCTGCAGCTGGAGTTCGCCCGGCGCGCAGCACCCTTCAACAACTGGCTGGACGGCGCCGTGGAGGACTTGCAGGATGTGTGGCTGGTGCACTCGGTGGAGGAGACCCAGGTGGATGCGGGAGTTCCGGGCGGGGCTGCCGGATGGGGTGACAGGGAGGCTGGCCTAAAACCCTGTCAGCCACTCCTTTGGGTTCCTGGGCAATGGGGGCAGGAGGGAAACCCCATTCCCAAGTGTCAGGCTGGGAGACTGGAGGCCTGGGTTGAGCCAGCCCTGCTGTGGACTTGCTGGGTGGCCTGGAGCACATTGCGGCCCTGTTGCCTGTGGGAAGTGAAGGGTGCTGGCTGATGCTTCCTTCCTGTGGTTCCCAGAGCCTGGTGACCGCACATGACCAATTCAAGGCTACATTGCCCGAGGCTGACCGAGAAAGAGGAGCCATCCTGGGTATCCAGGGTGAGATCCAGAAGATCTGCCAAACGTACGGGCTCCGGCCCAGTTCCACCAACCCCTACATCAACCTCACACCGCAGGACATCAACACGAAGTGGGATATGGTCAGTGCTGCCCGTGACCTCTCCCTGCCTCCCACCCTGCCCTGCACATTCTAACTGCCCTGAAACCTCAGATGTCCCGATATGGAGAACCAAGTCCACCTGGGGACCTGGGGTCTCTCAAACTTCATGCAGCTTCCTGTCATGGCCTCCTCTGTAAAATGGCTGTCACAGCAGCATTTTCCTGTATTAAGCCTGGGGTGTGGACACCTTTATAAAACCACCTACGTTAGCTATCAGTTGTATCACCAGCGCCATTTCACAGATGAGGAAACGAAGAGGTCGGATGAGCTTGTCCATGTAGCCCAGACATCTTGGCTCAGAGCTGCAGGGGCTGTTTTAGGGGGTGGAGCCCACCTCCCCTCAAGGCCATCTCCTGCTCCCAGAGCTGACCCACACAAGAGCACCCTCCTTCCTAGGTCCGAAAGCTGGTGCCCAGCCGTGACCAGACGCTACAGGAGGAGCTGGGCCGGCAGCAGGTGAACGAGCGGCTCCGGAGACAGTTCGCAGCTCAAGCCAACGCTATCGGGCCCTGGATCCAGGCGAAGGTGGAGGTAAGTCTTAGAAGGTGCCATCGACCTGGGGAAGGCCGGGCCAGGGCCAGGCCACAGGGAGCTCACGTGCTGCCTGGGTCCCCCTACAGGAGGTGGGGCGCCTGGCAGCAGGGATGGCAGGCTCTCTGGAGGAACAGATGGCCGGGCTGCGGCAACAGGAGCAGAACATCATTAACTACAAGAGCAACATTGACCGGCTGGAGGGTGACCACCAGCTGCTGCAGGAGAGCTTGGTGTTCGACAACAAGCACACCGTCTACAGCATGGAGGTGGGATCCACTCGCTTAGAAGGGAGGGAGGCGGCACTGGCTGGGGCAGCAGGGGGCAGCCATGGCCGGATAGAGCAGGGCGGCCCCAGGAGGGGCCCCGGCTCAGCTTGGCCAGGTCCCCCAGTGTATCCGTGGGGATACTGATATCTGGAGAGGGAAAGGGACCCGTCCAGAGTCACACAGGTGTCTAAAGGCAGGCCAGGTCTCACCATGACTGGCTGATCAACACTTAATAAGTGATCAAACTGCCAGGCAGGAAGGGCTGCTGGAGGCCCCTCAGTGGAACCTCCAGACAGGGACAGAGGCCCAATATGGTAGAAGACTTTCCCGGGGGCACACAGCAGATTGGCAGCGAAGCTAGCAGTAGCGGTCAGGCACTGGCCAGCCACTGACCTGGCCTGCCGCCTACTCCGCAGCACATCCGTGTAGGCTGGGAGCAGCTGCTCACCTCCATTGCCCGCACTATCAATGAGGTGGAGAACCAGGTACTGACGCGAGATGCCAAGGGCCTGAGCCAGGAGCAGCTCAACGAGTTCCGGGCATCCTTCAACCACTTTGACCGGGTCAGCAGGGGCCCAGCTCTGTGGGGTGGTGGACCTGGGGGCTGGTGGGGTTGGAAGACCAAGTCTGACATCCACTCACGCACTACAGAAGCGGAATGGGATGATGGAGCCTGACGACTTCCGCGCTTGCCTCATCTCCATGGGCTATGACCTGGTGAGTGCCCCCAACCCGCATCACAGGAGCCCCAGCAGTGCCTCCCTCCTGCATACTCATCACCTACTGTACCCCTCTCACCTCCATGTGCACTTCATTTCCTCCTCATCACACCCACTGGGGCCGGGTAGAATTACCCCATTTCACACAGGGCCATCAAAGGCTCAGAAAAGTAAGTTAACTTGCTCAAGACACATTTGGACCTGGTTCTATGTGACTCAAAAGCCTGAGCTCGTGGTGCGCCCGGGTGCCTCAGCTGTTTGAGTGTAACTCTTGATTTTGCCTGTAATGATCTCAGGGTCCTGGGACTGAGCCCCGTGTCCACCTCTGTGCTGAGCATGGAGCCTGCTTAAGAGTCTCTCTCTCAAAGCTAAAAATAAATTTTAAAAAGAGAAAAAAGCACCTTAGCTTGCATCATTTCTCCCCAGAGATAAGCACTACAGAAAGCTCCAGAAAAAAGATCAGGACCGAAGGGCAACAGGGGGCTCTGCCAGGGACAGGAAGCAGATTTTAGCTTAGGAGAAAGGACTTCCTAGAAAAGCAGAGCTAAGGCTGTGGCATAGTCTATGGAGGGAAGAGGGCACTGTGTAACTGGGGTCGTCAAGCCAAGGCTGGACAGTCCCCAGAAAGGGCCATGAGGAGCCCTGTGGCTTCAGCACCCACGGGCACGGTGCCTGGCCTCTACCCCTGCAGGGAGAAGTGGAGTTTGCGCGCATTATGACCATGGTGGACCCCAACGCAGCCGGAGTTGTGACCTTCCAGGCCTTCATTGACTTTATGACACGAGAGACGGCCGAGACCGACACGGCTGAGCAAGTTGTGGCCTCCTTCAAGATCCTGGCAGGAGATAAGGTGGGTGCTGGGGAGGGGAGGGCGCTGGTGGGCTGGGACAGGGAACAGGACCTGCGGGTCCTCAATAACCTCTTCTCCCCCAGAACTACATCACCCCCGAGGAGCTGCGGCGGGAGCTCCCAGCTGAGCAGGCCGAGTACTGCATCCGCCGCATGGCACCGTACAAAGGCTCCGGGGCTCCAGCTGGAGCCCTGGACTACGTGGCCTTCTCCAGTGCCCTCTATGGGGAGAGTGACCTGTGACCTCCATCCCTAAGGTTCGCTATGTGAGTCAGAGAGAGGGGACTCGCTCTGGCTGATTCCATCCGCCTCTTGGAGCGAGGGCCCCTGAGAACGGCCGGCTACGTACTTCTGAATAAAGACCCATCCGCGAGCCTCTCTCCGTCTCCTTTTGGTTTCTGAAGCAGAAGCTGGGCCCTCAGGCTCCTGGGCAGGAGCAGCTGCCCAACCTTAACCCTCCAGGGTGTCCCTGCCACCCCTGTCCCCATAGGCACTGAGCAATCACACCACACTGGGGCCTAGGACACCTCTTTATTGCTGTTAGAAAAAGGCAGTTACAATAGTTTCTCTAGATGTGGAAGGAAACACTGTCCCTAAATCCGGGGGGACCAGAAAATTTATAGCATCCGACAGAGGAAAGCCAGGACAGGAAGCCAGAGCCAGCTGAAGACAGAGCTGGGTTTGAGACCAGAATACTTTCTTGCCACCCGCTCCTGACCCAGGCCCAAGGTTCTTGCCCCAGTATCCGCTGCGGGGGCATCATCCCTCATCCCAAGAGGTTCCTAGTGACCACAGGTCTACAAGGGTACAGCTGGGGAACTTCCGGGGGGGGGAGGGGGTTGGGGTTTTGCCCTAGCCCAGTGCCTTCTCACCCTGAGGTAACCTGGTGCCTGTCCCTCAGCCAGCTGTGCCTCCTGGGGAGGGGCCTGGACACGCAGGTCAGGCTGAGGAAGGGGCTGCTCTGGTTAGCACCAGGTCCTGCGCTGACGCTCCTCAGTTCACCACAGCCGAGCTGGCCATGGCGTTCACGCCACAGGCCCCGGACCCACGATACAAGTAGTAGTAACCCTGGCAGGGAGGCAGGCGAGCTGGTGAGGGCACGAGGGCAGGATGGGAGCTGGAGAGCCAGGGCCAAGGGGACAAGACTCACCTCCTCACCCCAGTCAGTGCCCCAACTGTTCTTGATGGCCCAGAAGGGAATGCCCGAGCCTGAGGAGCAGTGCAGGGAGTCAGGGCCCCCAGCGCTCTGCACCCTCCCAGTATCTGCCGTAGGCTACTGCGACAGGCGCTAGGAAAAGAGCAGAAAGCAAGACACGCCCACCTACCACCCTCCTGGAGACCTGGTGTGGCTCAGGGGTTTGGGGAGGGCACCTGGCCATCTGCCTGCGGCGGATTATTTATCTGTAACGGTTCAGTTCAACCTTCCACTACCTCAGCTTTGCCATCTACAGAAAGCATGGAGGATTCCTGGCTGGCCAGTGGCCCCAAGCAGGGGTAAGGACAGGGTCCCAGCATTCCTTCAACTTCCCCCTCTGAGGGCCCTGAGATGCTATGGTCCAACCTCTGCCTGTGGCCTGGGGTGGGTGGGCACAGAGGGCATCAGTGAACTCACGGTTGCCATAGCCCACGAGCAGCACGGCATGGTCGATGAGCCAGGGGCTGCAGAGGGGCCTCAGTGGGTGGGAGATCCCGCGGCGGTAGAACTGGGGGGGTGGGGGGGCGAGAATAAGGTGTAGGGGGCCAATTCCAAGGAGAAGTGGGAAAGGAGTCAGCAAGAGACAGCCAAGGGCAGCAGGCCTGGGACCTTACCTGCATGCCAAAGGCATTGATGGCAACGGAGATGGGGCCCTTCTCGGCCAGCCAGGCCGCCAGCTCTGAGACAGGGGACAGACAGTGTCGGAGATACGCAGGCCCCAGCCCCCCACCGCGGCCCATCCCTACCCTGTCCCTTACTCACTCTGCTCATTCTGGCTCAGCTCTACTGAGTCGTTGATGTAGACCTTGGCCTTCTTTTCGGAGAAACTGCAGGTCTGCATGTGGCCGTGGTAGCTGTAGTCATCCTCTGTCTCCAGCCCTCCTAGGGAATGGGGTGGGGGTGGGGAGGGGAGAGAAGAGGTGGACCCCCGTTTACCATACACTTGTCTTCTCCTGGCCAGGAGCTACAATCAGCCCCTTATATGTGAGGTCTCAAGGTCCTCGTCCATCCCAGACCAAGGCCATGCCCTCTGAACAGCCTCGCTCTAGAGATGACAAAACAGAGACTAAGGGGGACGGGGGAGTAACCAGCGAGAAATGTGGCTAAGACGGAACTCAATTCCCAACTTCTAATCTTTATTCACCCTCGCGTTCCTGGGACTCTTCACCATGGCTTGCTTGTCCTGCTCAGACAGTCTGCTCCCAATTTGGCCCAGACACCTGCCGGGTTCCCAGTCTCTGCATAGCCACCTCGGTCCCTCAGCCCTTCAGCCTCATGCCACCGCAGCCCGCCCCTGAACTGAACTGCCATTTTGAGTCAATACCTCTTCTGAAGGGTGAGGCGCGTTGCTACTTGGTTTATTGGTATTACAGAAATACAGACCTCCAAGCAGCAAAAACACCAAGCCTCCTGCTATGCACCAGAAATTTATGTATCTTTCCTCATTTGATACTCAAGGCCATCCTATGAAGCGAGCAAGATCATCCCCCTTTCACAGATGAGGCAACTGAGGCTCTCAAAGGGCTGACTTGCTCAAGGTCTTTGTTGAGAGTCAGCATTAAGACCTGAACCCGGTTCACGTGACTTCCACGCTCATGTATCGCCCTCGCACAAAGGGACTTCTTTCAGAGGGAGAGGTGGCTCCTCCCGCCCCTCCTGATCCCATGAACGCATACCCAGATTCTTGATGGCCAGGTAGGCGTTGGAGGGCAAGCCACCCAGGCAGGCCTTGTCCACCTTGTCACAGTCCAAGAGCTCTAAGGAGACAGAAGGCTGGTCCTGAGGAGCCCTCTGGAGGGGCTGGGCTGGGGACAGGGACCCAGAGTGGGATGCTCACCCTGCTCTGAGAGGGAGAGCAGGTCCCCCTGTTTCAGGAACCACTGGCCCTCCACGTTGCCAGTGACGGAGAAGGCCCAGCAGGAGCCACACATGCCCTGCAAGATATGGGCAGAGTCAGGGTTGGGTCCCGTCCCAAGCCCAGGGTCGTCTTCATGTCCCACCATTGCTTCTTAGGGGTCCAACCTGGTCCTTGACTTTGGTGACAGCCCCCTTGGTCCTCCAGTCCCACTCAGGTGGGGCATGGTCACCAATGAATTTGGCTAAACGCATCTTCTTGCCGAGGTTCTCTTTCAGGAGAGGATTCAGATAGATGGTGCGGAACTCCTCCTCTGTGGGCAAAGACGGGCAGGGGGTGGCGGGGAAGAGTATACGGCAGCCCTGATCAGGGGCCGGGGGGGGGTAGGCCCTGACTCTTTCAGGCTCCCTGAGGGCTCTGGCCGCCACTTCTACCTGTAAGGTCACTGAACTTGGTGATCCCATACTGAGCTGTGCCGTGGTCCAGTGCCTGGATCTTCTGCGCTCGGATCATGTTGTTGGAAAAGACGGACATGCGCCACCGGGCTTCTGAGAACCGAGGAGCAGGAGAGAAAAGTCTCAGACCCCAGACAGATCATAAAAGGAGGGGCACTGAGACTAGCTAGCACAGGTTTCCCTCGGGAGGAGGTGGGCTCTGGATCAGGCCTGAAGTGTTTTTTAAGGACAGAACCCTGGGGAGGCCTGGAGGTGGGGGGACACCCAGACCCACAAGTGACGAGTAGGTGTGATCAACTTTGCGGGCAACATTGGGGTGACGGTATTGCAGGAGTGAAGGCAGAACCAAAATGGGTTCCAAAGGGCATCCTTAGACAGGAGGTCGTGGGAAAAGGCGACCATGCCTGGGAAGTGGGGGCGCCCCAGAGAAAATCTGGCCTTTGCCCCATTCTGCTCTATCCAGAATGATGAAGGCCCATGCTTTCTGACCAGGAGAATTAGATGGGAGGAGGCCAGGTACCTGACTGAGGTAGCTGTCCAGTCCTGAAAGGGGGGGCAAGAACTTGGGGATTTAGGGGTCCCTGAAAGGAGGCACTGCCTCTTGTGTCCTTCCCCTCCCCAACACCAAGATACCAAGTCGGGGGCCGGTGTGTGTGTGTGGGGGGGAGATCCTGATCTGATTAGGACAGGTCGGCCAAGGCTGGGTCCTCACCCTCCTCTGTCCCATATGTCCGATTATAGGTGGTAACAAAGTCCTTAAAGATTGAAGCCATCTTCACAGAAAATTCCTGGAAAGGCACAGGGGTCTTCACAAGGAGTCCTTCTCAGACTGACCAGGGAGCCCAGGCCAGGGTGAGGGGAAGAAAGGGTCAATAAAGCAGCAGCCAACTTCCCAGATGGAAATGGGCTCCTCACCTGGGGTAGGGGGTCCTTGTTCAGCAGTGGAAGGAGTGAACTTAAAGTCTCATTTCTGTCATCTGAATGGGGTTGGAACAGAGAAGAAATCAAGGCTGAACCCTGAGTGAAGCCTTAACTGAACAATGCCAGTATCCTTGGGCTATCCCAGCACCTGTAACCTTGGTATCCACTGGGCCACAGTCCCGCCTCAGCAGCATGTGTTTTCCGAGCTCATCCAGGACTTCAAAGCTGCAGAGCTGGAGGGAGAGGAGGAAGCCAGTCTGGGGGCTGGGATGGGCACAAGGCCTTGGCAAGATGGAGCCGGAAGGTGCTCGGGTGAGGACCACCTCCAAGGCAATCACCCCCACAGTGTAGGGCGAGGAACACCCAGCACCCTGTCACCACCACCCACTTTGAGGGCAGTTTAGTTTCTGGCCCTCAGGGCCTGGCAAGTGACTCAAAACTGAAGAGCTGCTGCCTCTCATCCCTTCCTCTTGACTTGACCCAGACTCATCGTGGGGACAGGGAATTACAGAGCCCCGGCACTCACCAGGGTTTTCTTGGACACAGGGAGCTGACACACCGTGGGGTCGTTGCAGGGAGGCTCGTCCAAGGTCGCCTTCAGGGAGTACAGCGACCCCTGGCCCGCCTGGATGGAGGGGCGGGTGAGTCGGCACATCCATTCCCCCCGCAGCCCGTCCTTCCCACGGCCCCGCCTTACGCCCTTCCCTTTCCCCGGTCGCCAGAAGTTCGTCTCTCCGGCGTCCAGCGCCCACACCCGGGGTCCCGACCAAAGCGCCCAAATCTCTGGCCAGGGCCCAGCGCACCCGCACTGGGAAGCCCCCGGCCCCGGCGCGTCCTCACCCGGCGGACGCGACCGCGCACGGCGCCCAGCGCCGCCCGCGTCCCGGCAGCCCGGCCGCGGTTGTACATCTCCAGCGCGAAGCGGGCGGGCCCCAGGAGCTCCGCGTACGCCGCCTCCCGGGCCCGAGCGTCGGCTGCTCGCTGGGGCGGGGCGGGAGAGGCGCCCAGGAGCGACCCCAGCAGCGACAGCAGCAGCAGCCAGGGCGCCATGGCGAGGGCGAAGCCGGAGGCCCGGACGCACCGACGGACAGAAGCCGACCAACCGACGGGGCGGAGCAGCCCGCGGCCAGAAGGGCTGGCGACCCTCCCCTTGCTCCCGGGGCGGCGAGGCGCCGACCAATGGGCGCGGGTCCGGGGCGCCTGCGCAGTCGCTTATTTACGTGAGGCACGTGGGGCGCGCTAGCTGCACCACAGATTGGCGCCCACAGGGGGAGGGGAGAGGGAGAAAGGAGGGGGCAGGGAAGAGGAGGGGGAGGGGGCATAGAGGGGGAGGGGGATACACCGCAACCTGGCAGCAGTTGTGTATGTGGACACATGGCCCGAGCTGCAGTCTTGGAATAATCCTCTTACGTCTTAGAGCTATTGTTTGGCGAGAGGGACGGACGCTAGCCTGAGAATGAAAATAGTAACTAACGTCTATTGCGTGCTTATTATATGTTACTCATTATATGTCATCTCCCTTTGATCGTCGTAGCAATCCGTGAAGTAGGTATTATCCCCATTTTATAATTGAGGACATAGAAGCTTAGCTAGATTAAATGGTTTACTAAACATCTGACAAGTGATAAAGCTGGACTTGAACCCAGAGAGCTGGCTTTAGAACCTGAGTTCACAGCTCCATTGCCTCTTTGAGGCCCCTCTGCTAATCGGCAAAATGGCAGGTAATAGCCCCTGGACTGGCAGTGTCTCCGGCTGTTGTGAGGCTCAAACACAAACAGGCAAGCATTAGGTAACCACTAAAGCAAGGAGGGAGGTTGTTGGGAGCGGTCTGTGGTTCATTCAAGCATTCACAGCTGTGTTCTAGGGCCCCGCAGAAGGATGCATGAACATAGTGCTTTAGGCATAGTGCTGACTGCATGGAGCTCCCACTCAAGTGGAGAGCCAGATGAGAAAGAGAACTTGTCCTGCAAGGTGTCCCCAGCTAGGGAGAGAAGCAGGGAAGTGAGAGGCTAAGGGAATTGAGGAAATCCCAGAAGGGGATGGAGGGTTAGTTTGGGCTTAGAGAGTGTGAAGAACGAATATCAAAGGTCACCTGATTCAGATCTGACTTGTTACAGCAGCAGAGGTCTAAAAAGGTGAGGTGACTCCCTAGCTACTCAGAAATAAGTATTGGAGCCTCACCAGAGCCAGCTTTGTGCTCTATCCTGGCTGCGATCAGAGAGGGTGTGGGCTGAAGGATGCCAGCAGATACTTCACTCTTCCAGCTATGCCGTCACCAGTTTAAGCTCCTTGGGGCTCCCCTTGTGTCTCTTACAGCCCTTAATGCTGCTTCTAAAGCCCCTCGAGGTTCGGTCTTGCCTGGTGCACTTGAAACACCGGCCTCGCTCTATTTGCGTCTCCTCAGAAGTTCAAGCTCAGGCGCACCTCACAGGCTTCACACTGCTCTTCCCTCCGCCCAACACCCAGTCATCTTTCAGTTCTCAGTTTAGAGGACACTTCCAACAGGCAGCCATCCTTGATCCCCCCCCCCCCGCCCCCGCCCGGCCCTGGCCGGACTAGCTGCCACTGCCACTGTACTCCTAGGTGCCAAGCCCTGTGAACTTCCTTTCCCGCTGGGCTGCAATTTCCTCGTCACTCGTGGATGTCCTCCAGTTGGCCAGGAGCTTGTCAGGGCTGGGACCTTGTCCTGCTCACTGCTGATTCCTCAGCACATAGCCCAGTGCCTGACGCACTTAATACTTGCTTAATAAATGTTTGTTGAATGAATTAGTGACTCCTTTGGCATGCCCTGGAGTGGGCGTGATGTCACCCAACTGTTTTTTAATACACAGCTTCACTTTCTAGAAGGATAAATGGTGTTACTATGGCTAGAAGAATCTCAGAAACGCCTGCTGCCATTGACCCAGGCCCCCTCCCTGTGTCTACAGAAGGTCACATACCCACGCTCACACACACTTCATCTCCCAAAAGGTCTGAAGCTGAATGAGTTTAAAATAGGAATCTCTAAAGCCCCAGCGGAGGCAGTGGGCTTTTCTTAGACCCGGGATAACAGATCCACATTGGCCTTTGTGGGAAACAGTCATCTTCCTCAAAGTTTCTTCCCTTGACACTGAAACCACCTGACAAGTGTCTGGAGGTGGGGGTTGGGGGGGAGGGCTGCTCATTTTCTCACCAGAGTGAGGCAAGTGAGCATAATTATAATTAATGGAGCGGGTGGGGGCGAGGCATATTTTTTAAGGCGCACATATGTTACCTTGGGCAATTCTCAGAACCACCTGGAAGGGAAATATCACAAGTGAGGTAGCTGAAGGGACCTCCAGAGAGAAAAAGTGGAATTTTCTTTGTTCCTTTTCCTCCTTCTCTTCATGCTAGAACCCACACCCCCACCTTACATATGCCTTGTCCTCCTTGGGAAGGTCGAGGGCTTCATGATTTCTTTGGCGTCTCCCAGAATGACAGATGACACCTAAGGAGTGTCTGGGAGGGGTCATCAATTTCTCCAAGGCCCCTGGCTCAGGGCATCACTGAGTTACGAAGGACACCTGAGCAATTGTCCTTGCTCCACCACTTTCTGGACACCCCAGGGGAGGCGTGCACCGACCACAAGCAAACACGAGACTGATGCTCCTTTTTTCCTTTCCAAGCCTCCCCGGACACTCCCTCTGTACCTGCTCTATATGTTCAGTAAACTCTGCTTTCACCTGCTGCTGGCTCGTGTTTGGTTTCCACCCGGCGTGAAGCCAAAGACCCTCCTGGCTGGTCCTGCGGGTTACCCCTCTGGGTCCTTGGACCCGGCCTGCCTGCATCGAAACCAGGGGCATGTCAACATTCAGAAGCTGAGTACGGAAGAGAAAGGCAGCAGAGGAGGCTGGGAAGAAGAGGACCTTGAACAAGAAGGAGATGCCAACAAAGTGGAAGAAGAGAGTGTATTTCAAGGAAAGGAAGTGGCTGGCTGCATCGAACGCCATGAAAAGGCAATGCAATGAGGAGAGACCCGTGACCTTTGGATTGGCTCACAACTGGAGACCTCGCTGATGGCAGTGGGTTAAGGGGAGAATCTGAGAAATGTGGACAATGGCTGGAGACAAGGATCTCAGGAAGTTTTGCATGGAGGAGAATAGAGAAATGAGACGGTAGCTAGCCAGAGAAGATGCATCAGACATCGGGAGAGTATTTTTTAAGATGGGAGACACCCGAGCATGCTTATGGGTTGGTGTGGATGACCAAACGGAAAGGGGGATATTGATGATTTGGGAGAAAGAGGAGAGAATTGCAAGAGCAAAGAGATTGGAAGGGTGAGGGGTTGTGTATTAGTTACCTACTACTGTGTGAAACACGATCACAAACTGAATGGCCAGGCCTGCAGTCTCATGGGAGGCTGGCTTCGGGAAGAATCTGCTTGGAAGCTCAGAAGTTAATGGCAGTATTGGGTTCCTTGAGGCTGCCAGCCTGGGGCCTTAGTTGTTTGCTGGTTGGTGGCTCTCAGCTGCCCCCAATGTTTTGCCGGGTGGGCCTTCCCAACATGGCCACTTGCTTCCTCAAAGCCAGGAAGGACAAGTAAGGGTATTGGAATCTTGTATAAAATAATCACATACGCATAATCCGGTATCCATAACCTCTGCCAGACTCTACCGGTTCTAGAAGCAAGTCACGGGTGCCTCTCACACTCAAGGGAGGGGGAGGGGAGGGAGTACACAAAGATGTGAACGCCAGGAGGTGGGGATCATGGGGGTTACCTCAGCATCTGTTCTGATGTTCCCCAGAAGGGTACCCCACACATAAAAATATTAACAACAGTAAAAATGATGGCTAACATTTAGCTGCATGCTAGGCCCTCAGTGTTCTCAGCATGTATATGCGTTAGCCCATTTAACCCCACAAAAACTCCATGAGACAGATGGGCTGCCAATGACGGATGGGTGAAACAAAGGCGAAAGAAAAACAATTAAACTTCCTTACAACTTACAGCCCATTGAGAAGTACTTGACGCAGGGAGAGTGACCTTCCTCAAGAAGTTCAGCTGCCTCTCGGGTACCTGGGTGGCTCAGCTGGTTAAATGTCTGACTTTTGACTTCGGCTTGAGTCATGATTTTGTGGTTTGCGAGTTCCAGCCCCATGTTGGGCTCCCCACTGGCAGTGTAGAGCCTGCTTGGGACTCTCCCCACCCCGCCCCCACCGCCCCATAGCTTTTTGCTATCTGGTGTGACAAGATATTCCTGGCTCAAGCATTTCTGGATCAAAGATTATGCACCTTTTACATTTAAATTTTGATGAAATCCAATTTATCATATTCTTTCTTTTATAGATTATGCTTTTGGTGTTATATCTAAGAAAATTGTCCCAACCTGGAATTAATGTCACATAGTATGTCAATTATATTTCAGTAATAATTACAAAAAGAGAATCATCCCTAAGATTGAAATTATGTCCTGTTTTCTTTTTAGAAATTTCATAGTTTAAGCACTTAAGTTAGCTTTTCTGCACTCTACAATTTTGATTACAGCATGTCTGCAGTCTAGATTAGGGTTTTTAAATTTTTTTTAATGTTTATTTATTTTTGAGAGAGAGAGAGGAGAGGAGAGACAGAGAGAGGGGACACAAAATCCAAAATAGGCTCCAGGATCTGAACACAGAGCCCGACATGGGGCTCAAACTCACGAACTGCAAGATTGTGACCTGAGCCGAAGTTGGATGTTTAACCAATGGAGCCACCCAGATACCCCCAATTTTTAAAAATTGTTTGTTTATTTTTGAGAGAGAGACAGAGACAGAGCATGAGCAGAGGAGGGAGAGAGAGAATCCGAAGCAGGCTCTGTACTGTCAGCACAGAGCTCGAACCCATGACCATGAGATCATGACCTGAGCTGAAGTCAGATACTTAACTGACTGAGCCACCCAGCTGCCCCATAGCTTAGGTTTTATATCAGAAACATGCATAGGGTTTTAATTATAATTGTAAAAGTATTATTTTATGATTTTAAAAAAGAAAATGTTTTTGATTTGATTTTTGTTATTTTTTTAAGTTCCTCTATTTATTTTTTTAGTAAACTCTACACCCAACATGGTGCTCAAACTCACGTTTTTGAGGTCAAGAGTGGCATGCTCTTCTGACAGCCATCCAGGTGCCCCTGATTTTTATTTTTATTTA